TGTTCCTTATATTAAATACAGGAACTATATGCTGGAACAGCAGGTAAACAGTGTTCCATATATAAAATACAGAAACTATATGCGGGAACATCAGGTAAACAATGTTCCATATATAAAATACAGAAACTTTATGCTGGAACAGCAGGTAAACAGTGTTCCTTATATTTAATACAGGAATTATAAGCTGGAACAGCAAGTAAATAATTTTCCACATATAAAATACAGGAATTATATGCTGGAACAGCAGGTAAACAGTGTTCCTTATTTTAAATACAAAAACTATATGCTGGAATAGCAGGTAAACAATTTTCCATATATAAAATACAAGAATTATATGCTGGAACAGCAGGTAAACAGTGTTCCTTATATTAAATATAGGAACTATATGCTGGAACAGCAGGTAAACAATGTTCCTTATATTAAATATAGGAACTATATGCTGGAACATCAGGTAGAAAATGTTCTATATATAAAATACAGAAACTATATGCTGGAACAGCAGGTAAACAATGTTTTTTATATTAAATACATGGGTCTCACTGGGGTAACAAATATAATAATTATTCTTAGATTTAATTGATTTTAAGCCACTTAAATTTCTCTGAAAGTTGCCGTTCTCAACTTTAAGTTTTTAAACCAACCTAAAAACATTGTCGTGGTTCCACCGAGTTTCCTTAGCAAAATTTGAGACAAATCGGTCAAGGGGTTCAGCTGATAAGATCGGACAATAAAATTGAGACCAAAACAGAGCTAACTTATACATACTTCTAGAGAGATTCGGGTTGTAGATCAAAAATACAATCTATCGTTGAGTTTGACAATAAATTTAAAAAGTTTATAATTTCTCGATTAGTTGCCTTGCAAATGTGACAAAGCACTGCAGTAATCAAGGAATAATTAATATCTTCAAGCTTTGATTCAAACTCATATTCCAATAGAGTATATCCAAACCTGATTCATGAAAACTTACAGACTCCAAACTTTATTTGAAACCATTTCCTAAATATATCCTTACTACTGGAGATGGGCAAAGTTTTGTTAATGGACAACATTTTTCCAAACGAACAAAACTTTTTGTGAACGATGGTGTCGTTCACAAAAAATCCCAAATGCTAAACAAACGAACTTGATCGTTCCGAAAAATTTAAAAAAAACTATTTTAAAATTGTTGTCAGATAGACCGTTAATTAACCACTTCTAATACATTGTCAAACGATAGTTTTTACTAAAAGAACGATTTTTTCGAACGAATTTTTGAAAAACTTTCTTTTATTACTGAACGAACTATTTTACTAAAAGAAAGATTTACTGAACTAACGATCTCACTGAACGATCCGTTTTAATGAAGGATTGTTCAATTAAAAAGGAACAAAATAGATGAAAAAAGGACAACAATATTTTTCTTGAAATCCATTCTTTAAGAGAAATTCAAAACTCTTTTTTTAAACTTATATAATTATCGAAAATCTGCAGTTATTTTAACTTAATTACCGAAACTCCGTTTGTGAAGCAAAAAAAAACTAAATAAAGGTCATCATAAATGTTCCACGTGGATGTGGGTGCTGATTAATTAATCGATAAAATAATTATGGAATTAATATCTAGTGAGGTCGGTATTTGAAATTAATTGTTTTGTGTTTAGCTAGGTTAATATTTAATAAATCTTCAGTTTTACTTTTCAGTAGAATACCTGCAGTAAGCTCTTAGTCACGATACAAAATTGATCATCCAACCGGAAATATCTTAGACTATGAATTATTAGCAAACACTCAAGATGAAGAATCTCTTGACAATGAAAACTCAAATTATCCTTTAAATGCAGATAATCAAATTGAATCTTTTGAATCTTTACCTCATAATAATAATGATACTATTTCAGACAAACCTGCAGCTGCAACTGTCACAGATCAAACCTTAGCAAAACCTGATCCTGTTCCTTCTCCTGAATCTAAGAAGAAACAAAAAACTCCAAGTTATTCTATAAAAACAAGATCAAGAGCACTCAACCCTGATTCTGATTCAGAATTATCAGACACTGACAGTAAAAAGGTGACATTTGCAAACTCTTAAAATAAATATGATGTCTTTATTAAACTGTTTTAAATCTTCTGAAGAAAACCTTAACATTGAGTATCCAGTCAATTTCACAAACTGTTGTACAAATAATTTAAGTGCAAAAATAATGCAAACTAAGGGTCTCTCTTTAAAAACATTTGCAATAATGGCAATTCATGAAAATGTGAATATGTGGTCACAAAAATTAAACTTATCACCATACGATTTTATACTTAATTTATTTTTGCCTCAACATTTAATCACTACCTTATATGTACATTTTGTTTGTTGTGATCTCCACAATGAAAATCACAAAACTAGAAATAACTTATATTTGTACAGATTTCACTTTCCTTCGTTTTTACCCATGATAGCTGAAACTTTTAACATTCCCATTGATACCAATGAACCTAACTCCTATTTCTTTCCTAAAACTGTTATTACCTACGCTTGTCTTGCATTCACACTTGAACAAGATCAAAATTGGCTTACAAACCTAATAGGAAAAAAAAAATTCTCTAAGCAAGGTTTACACAATTTCCTCTTTCAACATTTACATTTAAAATGCCACATAAATCCTGATGTTCATATTAAGGAACCTTTGTTTATGAAACTAAACTATTCTGACAATAATCTTGTATGTCTGCAAGACACCTTTTCTCTGTCCCATTCACATGAGTTGTCTGTGGGAACTCTTTTGTTTATAGTGCCTTACTAATGCACATGTATTATAGACTATAAGTGAAATCATCCTTCATCATGGACTACTCTTCTGAAGCTATGGACACTAATCTTCCATTCCAATTTATCCCAACACCAGATGTACCAGATATTTATTCAGTACAAACTGTTTCAACTGTTGTACATGTCCCCGAGCAAGAAACTATTTCATTACTTGTGAATTATTCACCACAGCATAACCCTCATTCTGGCCATGATTCACAGACCAAAGTCTCGACTATTGTTCACCTTGATGAACATAACGTCCCACTGGTAACCTTCAAGCAACTGCCAACTCCTGTACCGAGATCTTCATCACCTTCCGCTACTCCTGAAACCAGCTACTCTCCTAAACGTCCTAGACCTCCAACTCCCTGTCTGCGAACATTCAAATCACAACCTCTTCTTGACACCACTGACTCTTCAACAACTCCAATCAGTCCGCACGATGATCCAGTACCTCATGATGAGTGCTCCCGCAGTCTGACACCTACCAACATTATTGAAAAATCAATCATATCATCTAACGAGTACAACACAGCATTGAATACCTTACTTACTTGGCGTTGTAACGTACTTCTAGGACCAGTATCAGACTCAGCAATCTTTTATTCAGATTCTGAAAATTCAGATGATGAAGATTCTAGCAGTACCTGTGAAGTCTCATCTTTTTACTGGACATCACCTGCTCGGACCCTCTGTTCTCACACATTCTAGTACCCGACTATCCAAGGCTGATCTGGAACCGTTCCAAGCGATCCTCATTGGTCTAGAATTGCTTGACAAAGCTGGAACTCTGCCCTCTTCCAGCATTCCCGTTCTTAATCTCTCTCCAGATGGCTCTCATCAAAAAATGTGGCCAACTGATTTCTACAATTATCTGGGTCCTGATACAGTTCAAGGACAAATTACTCTAGACAATAAACCCATCCAACACCTTCCATCTGATGAAAACTATCTTGAACATGTCCAGCATGTTCTTCACATCACTCCACTTCATACTCCGATAATAGTAGAGTTGAACCTTCTACCTTTTCTCCGACATCATTCTCCAGAAACCTGGAAATCTATCCTGGATACCAACCTTAAATCTATCCTCCTTGGTTTTTTTTGTGGAATCTCAAAAATATCTCAAGTCTTTAAGTCTCAAAAAGGTGAGCTCCCTGAAATAGTTGTCCTTGGACAACCCCCGTTTGCATCTGATTATCAACTCAGTGCACAAATCTTGCTCCAAATGTGGGATGACATAAATCTTGGAGCCCTCCTTATTAGTAGATATACTAAAACCGTCTTTCTTCCATGTACAGGTCTGATTGGTTTCGGCAAACATTTTTACTCCAACATTTTGGATCAACAATTTCCTACTTTCAACTCTGATCACTCGCTTTCACAGTATTCAAGAAATCAAGCTCTCAGCCTAATCCAACTCTACTGTTCTGTTAGGGAACAAACTCTAGCTGTGCTGGACTCCTAATATGCTCAGGTACCTTATTTTTAACATTATTTTCCATCTCTGATGCATTCTCAACCCTAAGTTCTTCATGAATTTATTTTACACTTTTACAATATCTCTATAAATATATACGTACTCCAAGATTCGCTTCCGCATCATGCATCACAAACTCCCTATTCTTCTCATCCTTCATACCTTCCTATTGATAAAAGCTCAATTTCTTGATCTCCTGATGCCTGTTTTTGAACAAGATCTTGCTAACAAAAGAACTGTAACCAGGATTTTCCTAGACTTTGAAATTTTCATTTTAACTGATGAACAATCATGCAAATAAAATTTTTGATATTTTTAAATCTTTTAGAACAGCTATACATAAACCTTCACAGCCGATATCTCCAACTTTAAAAAATGTCCTTGAAGATTTAGCTAAACTAAAATCTTCCCTTAAACATATTACATCGGCAACTTCCAGTCTTTTAGATAAAAATACTCCTAAACCTGATCACTCTCCATGTACTTATGTTAAACTTATTGTCAATTCATACTCTTTTCAAAACTTTTTAGAAAGTCTAATTTTAATTTCAGCAAAAATTCCTCCCGAATTTGATTTCTCTGATGATATAACATCTGACGGATACAATGAAAAATTTCAGTTAGTAATTGACACACTTTTACATCTAAAAGGGACTGTTCACAAATTTTTCGCTTCCCTCGAAAAACAATATTCGTTACTTTTAGATTTAGAAAATTTTATACTCCCAACTTTTGTAGCTCACGACCTAGATCTAGGAAAATGCATCAGACATTCTGGGCAAGAAAAGTTTAAAATGGAACACATTAAATATTATTCATCTGGCGTTTATATTACGGTAAAATTGACTCAAATTCATGATTTTCAATCTTATAACTCGTTACATCCTATTCCTATAGCTGGAATAAGCTTGGATTTAAATGATTTATACGCTCCTATTAACAATAATGCTACTTATGTTCAGCAAATTTGCACCACTGTAAACAACATAAAAAATTGTCATTTGAAACCTTATAATACTCCTTGTACTGTTGCGATCATCGCAAAACATGTTTCAAGGATTTTACAAACATGTCCCATTAAAAAAACAAAGCCAGTCTCAACCATTTTTAACACTAGAAGGTATTTATATCCCTGAGAATGTAAAAATTTCCTTTCTAGATCCAAAAACTCAAGAAAAAATACTTAATATCTCTACCGAAAGTCCTCCGCTTAAGCTTCCATACTTGTTAACATCCGAATATACAGTTGAAATTATTACACAAAATTCTTCATTTTTGTTCGGTCCTACTTCTCAGGAAACTAATATAATCCCCAGCTACTTTTCTATAGAAGATTTAACTCTTATTCAATACTTCCTTAAACCTTATTATAATCCTACATATCAAATCTACTTCTCATTGGGTTCTACCTTGTTTCTTAGCTCTATTGTTCTCATTTTTCTACTGTACAAACTTTTTGTCCCAAAATCTAATCTCAAAAAACAATCTAAATATCTTGCATCCTTTCATAAATACAAACCTACAACTATCATTAAGATTAATAAATAATGTTGCAGGTTCCATGCAGCTCCCTGCTCCTTCAACCTCTTCACTCTTCTGCGTACACAGCTTCCGTTTAAATATCTGATATCAAAATATCATTTCGCAACCCCTTGAATTAATACCTTGTGTGTAATTTTTTTGTCTAAAAACACGTTTAAAAACAAACTAAAAACTATAAAAAACTAAAATCCACAATCAATATTAATATTAGTCTCATTTTAAGTTGAACCATGTGTTCCATAACATCGCAATATTAAATGTTCGTTTCTGTGCATTGTGCATTGTTGCGAGATAAATTAAAAATATCTACTACTTATTATTACTATTTGATTCCCATTTTTCAATTAAATCATGTGTTACATTACAATACTATGTTATATGTCTGCTTCAAAAATTTGTGTCTTGTTCTCATAATAAATTGAAAAACAAATTACTCATTTCCCAAAATGTAAGCAAATATATATGACACTCGCTTATAAACATTGTCAACTGTCCATTTAGAATTTTAAAATTTAACAAATATTTTCTTACTCCGTGGCAGATTTGTTCAAATAAAAATTCTACAAGTTCCCAATACAAATTAAATTTAAATTCTGTGTTCACAATTTTGCTTCTTCTGTAAATTAACCTTTTCAACAAATACAACAAACTACAACAAACATACATTTATTATATTTACTTTCATTATATAGAACAGAAAAAAAAGCATTAACAAAAAATCCTAAAACTGAATTTTAGACAGTTAACTGAAGATTTACAATTCAGACAATAACTTTTGAAAGAATTATTGGGTTCCCCTCCAATATAGGAGTTTAACTTTTCTTTTCATGCCTGGATTTAAGACGCTCACTCCTTCTTATTTCACTGTCCCTCTGATTCAATTCCCGTATGCGCTTGCACAAGTTACCAGTCTCTTCCTTCTCCTTCCTCACATCCTGCTCCAACATTTCCAGCACTCTCTCTAATTTATTGTCCCCGTTCTCCCGAGTCCTCTCTACATAAGCTATGGCTCCACTTACATCCAAAGTTTCCATCTCTTGAAACACTAAACCTGGGTTTATACCGTTGCGCTCAGTCAGCTTTACATCTTCTTCAATATCTACTATGGTCACGTTCTCCGCTGCATGGATATTCATTCAAACTTAAATATTTTTGCATCCCTTTAAATATTTCAAAAAATTTCTCACACATCAAAATTCTACTGTTCCTATATCCTTCCCTCCCCTACCTTCAACCTTTATATTCTATAATTCCTCAGCTATCTAATTTATTCTAATTTACTACAAACCTTCATATCTCCTACACAGGATCTCAGACACCCCTGCTCTTTCCTCCACACAGCTTCAGGTCCTGCCATTTTTCCTCCTCTCCTAAAACAAAACAATTAATAATATATTTTACATGTACAGACACCATCTATATATATATATTTGGCTTATATGTCTGTTTGTTTATATCCCATAAAAACGACAAAGCAACTAAACCAATCAAGAACAAGTTTTCATAAGACACACCTTTATGTTTCTCTTCATTATACAACTTTCCAATAATCTTCCCGATTACACCCCCTAACAACATCCCCTTATCACTTTCCATTTCTCCCCCCCCCCTTTTTCCACCCTTCCTTCTAATTTCATTTATTTCCTCACCTTAAATATTTCGCGCAGAAATACACCATTATAGACATAACAACTCCAATGACGATACCACCAATTATCAGCACTATCTGTACATTCACTGATGTGCCTTCCTCCTTGTTCTCACATAAATGCTCATGTACTGCAAAAGTCGCGTTCTTACTGTCCCCAATTATGTTCACCATCTGTTTATCTATTTCACTAATAGTAGTTCCGTTGACATATTCCATTGAATTCTTCATCACTTGAACTCCCTCTGTAACCGCTTCCTGTAACTTCGTTGCTAGGCGCTCCTTCATTCTACTCCCAGTTATCACCTCTTGTACTCCTTCAGTCATCACTCCCTCATCCTTTGCCAACAACTCCTCCTTCATTGCATTCATGGTATTTACATAATTATTTACAGCTACATTCACTGTATTCTTTATCTTCACAATCTGTTTCTGAATTACATCTTTCTCTGGCACCCCTTCACCCCCAGCCCCTTCACTATAGTCAAAATCGTCCTCGTACTCCTCGCTGAACTTCTTGTCGTCTCCGTCCCACATCTGAAATAATTATTCACTCTTACTGTTATCCAATAACCTAAATCCTACTACCCTAACAAACTACAACTTTCTTACTCTGTATCATATGATTTACTCGTCTCACTTTACGATATTAAATTACATAAACAAATCCTTGCTTGCAACTAGATCACATTCATTTGTTGATAAAAAACATTTACGTACATTCTTACATATTATTTCTTTTGTTTCAATCCCTCCTACGCTTCCGTCTTTTCCTTCTTCTTATTCTTTTTGCAATTTACACCTTTTCTCCAATACAGCTTTATAAATCAGTTATATTCCCTTTTTTTATATTGTCGCTATATATGTTTCCCCCTTTTATGTTCGCCCTTTCAAACATACTCGACTTATTATATATTTTTGTAATAAAACAATAAAACTAAATTTACGTAACCCCTAACAGCCTTAACATTTCCAAATTTACGATAATAAACTCCAAATTTTACCTTTCAACTTCTCGACTGTTGTCCCTTGATCCTGTGTTCACACCTGAATGAATAACCTCGTGGAATTCCAGCTTACCCTTAAACCTGTATTATGCA